TTTTACTTTTTTATATTTCATTTATTCTTGTATAAACACAAATATAAATGTAAATATTCCATGAATAGAAAAATATATTTCCTTTGCTACTTTTCTTTTTCTTGCTTAAAAAATATCAATTTTTGTCAATTTTGTTGTTCATCTGCAAATATAAAATGCAAAAAAAGATTAGACTTCAAAGACTGCATTGATTGTTAGTAGAATAGCTAAATAATACAGAAACTTTCGTGCAGAATGGGCAGATAGCACACAAAGTAATTGTGGAAATGATATATGCAAATGAATAATGAAATTACAAAATATTAAAGCATTTGTTTTCCATTGACTTTACCTCATTACGTGGAGCTGCGCAAGTATGAACTTTTTGTTTATTTTTAGCATCTAACGTTTTTTGTATCAATGCTCCTCGTAGCACATCTCGCCACAAGGATTGCATGTCTTCTGTTTTGAATGAGAATTTACGTCGAACAGCTTCTAAAAATAATGATAGATGTTACAAAAAAAGAAATTCGAATTCTGTAAATAATCGCGCCGTCTAACCTGTTAACTTATCAACATCTTCTTGTGTAATCGGTACTCTTCCATCACGTTTTCCACGAAAATCGGGTAAAAAGCCATTCCCGAGCTGTTCAGGAGTTAACAAAACTTTTGCAACATTTAACAAATATCGTCTAGGCGTAACACCACTCAAAGACATCAGATTAATATTATTTTCGATCTAAGAACAGAGAAAAAGATAAAAACAATACTGTAACCGACAAGAGTAAACAGAAAATTTACCATTGGTTCTTTCGGTGAAGCTAAACATGGTTTATTCTAAAACCAAAGAAAGTAAAGCGTATTTAATTTACCAACCTAAGCGACAAAATGCTCACATATAATTAGCTGGGTTCTCATACTTAGACTATCAGCTGCTACTATGTAAGAGTCCCTTCTGAAACCCCACCATAATGAGATACCATACAGTACCGTAATTTTCGTCTTTTCTGTTACTTAAGAATGGATACTCTTGTTATCGGAAGTAGGGGTGTTAATTTAGTTTTATTGTTCATTTATAATAATGGATAAATATAAATGATTCATTTGCTTTTATAAAATAAATATGACTAAATGAAAAAAAATTATCTTTATTTTATAAAAGTAAATGAATCATTTATATTTATTTTTTAAAATAACACTAAATTAACATCTCTAATCGGAAGTACTATTTCTATTCTGCGCGCTGCTCAAGGACATCTACGTTCTAATAAAACATACTAGAACCGAGGAGGTACGCTGTTTTTCGTAATCTGTTGTCCAAAACAGATTTGGTTGAATTTTAGACTACTAGGACGATTATCTGGAATTATTAACAAGTCTTCTCCTTTTTAATTATACAAACTTCTTTTCTGTTGCTCCTTTTTTGGATTGCGTAAACTTTTGAAATCATCATTTTCAGATCTGAGATTTCTTTTATAATCTCAGTACCTCGATCACGATTAGATTCATTCAAAACAATTTTGGATGATGGTGATAGAAGACATTCAGATGATGGTGCAGCTCTTGTTGCTGTTTTGGGAGGAGCGACTGTTGTTTCATCTAAACGATAAAATTTAGAAAAAACTTTAGATTATACGAAACTAAGAGTCCTGGTGCAGCATTGTAAATCCCAACCTTTTTCA